CAGTGATCCTCAGATCTCAGCCTCTTGATTAGTTAGGATTACAGGCGTGAACCATCAGCATCCAGCCATGACATTTTTTAAACAAAGAATGGAAAATGGTCCCATTTGGTATCCACCTGACCTTGTTGCCATTGCTTTTTTTTTTTTTTAAAAGAACAAACAAATCCTTATTTCCATTTTCTTATCACTTGTCTAGCTAACTCTTGTTTTACTGGTTTAAGTATACTTTTTGTTTGTCCTGGTACTGAGACTTCAACTCAGCCTCTCATTTTCCATTAGCTATTTTGCTCAAGTGTTCAAGGCTGGAGCTCTACCACTTGAGTCACACCTCATTTTCTGCTTTCTATTGTTTAATTGGAGATGAGTCTCTCAGATTTGTCTGCCAAGGCTGGCTTAGAAATCTAGTCCTCACATCTCAGCCTCCTGAGTAGCTAGGATGATAGCCATTGGTGACTGGCTGAGTATGACTAATCTTAAAAGCTGAATTTGAAATACCCTGAGATCTAACTTTTTGTGTGTGCTGGCCCTGGGTCTTGAACTCAGGGGCTGGGCACTGTCCCTGAGTTTCTTTTGGTCAAGGCTAGCTCTACATGAGCCATAGCTCCAAAAATTCCAGCTTTTCCGTGGTTAATTAGAGATAAGCATCTCATGGACTTTCCTGCCCAGGCTGGCTTTGAACCCAGTCTTCAGATATCAGTCTCCTGAGTAGTTAGCAATACCAGTGTTAGTCACCAGTGCCTGGCCAAAATCTAACATTTTGAGTTTATTTCATGTGTGGATTATTAAAAATAGTATATAATTCTTGTTGGTTTTGGTTGGTTGTGAGGGTTGAATTCAGGATGTGGATGCTGGTCCTGAGCCTCTTTGTGCTCAAGGCTAGTGCTCTTCTTGTGAGCCACAAGCACAAGTTCTGGTTTTTTGAGTGGTTAATTGGAGATGAGTCTTTCAGGGACTTTTCTGCCCAGTCTGGCTTTGAACTGTGATCCTCAGAACTCAGCCTCCTGAGTAGCAGGTTTGAGGATTACAAGTGTGAGCCACCAGTGCTGGGCTGCTGCTGCTCCTGCTGCTTCTCCTCCTCCCCCTTCACCTTCTATCCTTCCCCCCACCCCCCTCCTCTTTTAACAGTTTGTTTGGCATTAACACTTGTTTGGCATTTGCCTGAGTCTGGGCTCAATCTCCAACAACTCATCCCCTTAACAAAAAGTACTGCATAAAAAAAATCACCTTCAGATTTTATGCACAAATTGTGTATGAAGCACATGAATTTCATACTTAGACGAGGAGCTTATCTCCAGGATAAATAATTAAATATTTGCGAATAGTCTGAAATCCCAGACACTTTTAGGTCCCACAAATTTTAAATAAGAGATATTCAATGCTATCTAATGCAATATACACATGCACTGATACCTGAATAAGTAGTTCAGGACAAATTTTTTTTCTATAATACCCTCAAGAGAATTCTCCCTTATTCTCAAGTTAAGATTTCTTTAGCAACAATTGTAAGAAAAAAAAAAAAATCTGTATTTCAATCCCAAATCACTGTACAGCTGATTAATCTGGAATAGGTAGGTCAGAACCAGCCAGTTAGTTCTAGATAAAAACAGTCACAGTACCTGTTTAAGACATTTTTTAATGTTTTACTTTAAAACAAATAATCCCAGTAAAAGAGAGCAAAGGAAATTACATTTTAATGATAGCTTGAAATGGAAATGGTATTCTTGATTTCATTGTTTTCAGGAAATGGACAATTGCATTGTCGTATGTGACTTTGAGAGCTGCTCACTTAAATGCACAGAATTATATTAAAGTAAGTTTTCTTACAAAAACACAACCATGTCATTTAAGGTAAAAAAAAAAAAAAAAGCCAGCTTCTAGGGAGTTGATACTGGTATTTCCTTAATCAGATTGAATGAAATGATCCATTTGTTTAGTTGCCCCAATGTTGTTGTTCTTTAGATTTTGCTCTGCAAATGGGTATGGAGTTCGTTGGTGCCTCATTTCCTCTCTTTATTGGGCAGATTTGATTTTCAAATTGGGAACTTTCAGAATCACTGAGTTAATGGGAGGTAAGAAAGGCACGTAAGAACAAGAAGTAAGGATTTAAAAACACAACCGAGTAGCTTGCTTTAAGCAGAACCTGCAATCTACAGATACAAATTTAATTCGACAGAATGCAAACATGTAATAGATCAGACCCCTTAAGGATTTTTAGTTAACATCTTACTTGAGATGTTTGTGATTAAGTATCAGCTTGAAGAAGGCAGACAACGGAATGGAGAATGTGTATGGAGAGCCATTGCTCTACTAAATTGTGCTTCCAGACACCATTTGGGATTGGCCACAGGTATGAAGGGTACATGGGAGACCCCTTGTATTCCCACAGGGTGACAATAACAGGTGGACCCCTGCACTTTTCATAACGTACAACTATCTTTCAACATCTGAGAGTTTTTGTGCTAGAACAAGACACACACAAAATGGTCACGGTTTTAAGGTATGAGTGTTCTCCACAATATGATTAATCACATTTGGCTGTGATTCCGACCTTGGTGATGTGTTTTGACTTTGTTTCCTTAGCAATGTTGAATAAACTACACTGTCTGGGCTCTGACGAGGCCTCAGAATCCCTTCCCAAGTCCTGCCACCAGTGGGTATTCCATCTGGGACACAGTCTGTCCAAGAATTAGTGCTACCAAAAGTTGCCACCTCCCCGCCTTCTTTTCCTTTTGAGACAGCCTGCTTAGTGTGGGGCAGGTGTATGGCTTAAGTGAGCAGAAGGATGTGTATGTGTGTGCAATGTCTTTGGGAAGGTATATCTTCACGTTAAGTACAGACATGGGTGGATGAAAATTTCATAAATTAATTGGGTTTGAAAATAATTGTCTTAAGAGTTTGATAAAAATATTTTTAATTAGAGTGTAAAATTTAGATTCTATTTTCTGTGTGTCTCTAGCAGCCAAGATTCTACATAATATACTCCACAGGAGCGGTTTAGAATCTAAGTGGGATAAGAAGTGGAAGCCTTAAAAAAAAATGCAGTGTTGATCAATTAGAGACAAAGGGTTTTGTTTTGTTTTGTTTTGCTTTTTGGTTGGTTGTGGAGCTTGAACTCTAGGCCTGGAGGCTGTCCCTGAGCTCTTCAGCTCAAGGCTAGCACTCTACCACTTGAGCCACAGTACCACTTGGGCCTTTTCTGTTTCTGTGGTGCTAAGGAATGGAATCCAGGGCCTCATGCATGCAAGGCAAACACTCTACCATTGAGCCACCTTCCCAGCCCCCAAAGATTTTTTTTAATGGTTAAAAGGTACATTTTAGGTAGAGAGAAGTGGTTTACTGAAGGACAGAGGCTGCTTAAGGCCTAGTGAAAATCTGAAGCAAAACATTGGTAGGAAAGTAGGAAAGTAAGGGAGGACCAATGATCACAAATGTCTGGCTTGGTGCCAGTGGCTCATGCCTGTGATTCTGTCTACTCAGGAGGCTGAGATCTGAGGATCACAGTTTGAAGCTCACCTGGGCAGACATTATCTCCAATTAACCACTCAAGTGGGAGTGCCAACCTTGAGTGAAAAATCCAAGCAAGAGCACAGACCCTGAGTTCAAGCCCCAGTAACAGCATAGTAGCTTGCGCATGCGTGCATACACACACACACACACACACACACACACACACACACACACACACACACACACACACACACACACACACGTTTAGGAAAATAGTTGGGAAGAATTGGTGGATTTGGGGATCTCCTTTCTTTGGGTGGCCATTTTATATCCTTGCTTATTCTTATGGGTTGCTAGAGATGGGATTTGTAGGCAGTTCTAATGTTTGTCAAGGAGAAAATCTTCAACTTTCTTGAGCTTGGTGACCAGAGCTGAAGTGAGTTGAAGTGCTGCTCTCCTTTCTTTGCCTCTAAAATACCATTGCTTTGGTCAAAGATCTGCTAGTCCGACATTTATGCTAGTTTCTTCCTTTCCTTTATTTTTGTTATTATCATCAATATTGTGATTATCCTGCCTCCACCTCTCCTGTGCTGGGATTAAGTTGTGTATCGTAACATCTGGTTGCTTGCTAGTTTTCAACAAGAAGTCAGCACTGCTTGTTTCCTGATAAATATATTTTAAAATTCCTGCCCTCTCTGGTCTTTTTGCTACCATCATATACTAGCAAGTGATTTGATTTACAGTTCCTGCATCTGGCTTCTATTGTAAATATTTCTACTAGGAAATTGAACCAATAATTTCAGATTTGGTTTAATATTCCCGAGGAAACTAGAAAATGTTCGATACAGTATAAAAAAAGTAAAGAAAGTGTAGTCTTAGCCTTTTATATGTAAAATGTACTCCATAATAGCAAAACATGTTCAGGGCATATTTAAAAATAAATACTTTGCAAAATTCTCTGTTATATAAGAATAAGGGATGTTTAGGTAGTTGAATCCTCTAGCAATACTTGCTTTCTTAAAAAAACCCAAATAAACAAAAAAACAAGAACTGTATTTTATTTTGGATTATTTCTTTCCTTTTCACTGCCCATTGAGGGGAAGAGCCAATTTCTTTACCTATTTTCTTGTATTGTTTCTAGATTTTTTTCCTAAGCCTTTCTTCTCTCAGTCCTACTCAAATTTCTTCTTCTCTGGGGTCCTACCTACATCTTAGGTAAATGAGATGAGCATCTCAAAAGATTAGCCTCTGGGCCTGGGCGCTGTCCAGCTCTTCAGCTCAAGGCTAGCGCTCTACCACTTGAGCCACAGTGCCACTTCCTTTTTTTGTTTTGTTTTGTTTTTTTTTTAAAGCCAGCCCTAGAGTTTGAATTCAGGGCCTGGGTGCTATCTCTGAGCTTTTTTGCTCAAGGCTAGCACTCTACCACTTAAGCCAAGGCTCCACTACTGGCTTTCTTGGTGATTAATTGGAGATAAGATTCTTATGGGCTTTCTTGTCTGAACTGGCTTCAAACTTAGATCTTCAGATCTCAGCCTCTTGAGTAGGTAGGATTACAGATGTGAACCAAAGGTGCCCATTTTAAATTGGCATTTGTATGTGGACAGGATCGGCAAGCCTGGAGCTGATACCACTGAAGAGAAACCAGCCTAGTCATGCTGGGTGTCACACTGACCAGTGCTTCATATGCATGTGTAGAAGCTTGACCAGTTAGAGTGGATTTGGCCCCCCTGGGAATGTCAGATATGTCAAAAAGCCAGTCTATTCACCCCACTGGCCTCAAATGTCATGATTCACACTTTTTTTTTTCCTCATTGAAAAACATTCTCATTGTAAAGGACAACATGAAAAGGATGCGTAGCACTGCTTGCCACAGCGTTAAATCACCAAAAAATAAAAAAATAAATTAAAAAAAGTTAAAAAGCACACAAACTGACATTCAAAATACATTAATAAGAAAAAGACTGAGTAGAAATAGGTTGGCAGAGATTTCTTGAAGGACACAGCCATTTCTATTATCCTCAAATTCTGCTTTCCTTGATTCCTTAAGAGCAGCTGTTGATAGTTATTGTGTTTAGACGTTATGGCCTAATTTTAAAGATGATTTTGTACTGAATCACAAAGCAGAAATGCCTGAAATTTGAAGGTGTTTACTCCCACAATTTCAAAACTATTGCGTCAATTCTTGTCCTTGATCTAATCTTGGCAAGTTCGTACACCCTGTAAGCGTTAGCAATGCTAGGTTTTTTCAGGATTGTAAACTCAAAGGTACATGAGTAAATGAGCAGGTTCTATGTTGATGCACCTTGGAATTTCAGCCATCCCCAGACATGCATTTGCATGCAAATGAAAAGATAATGGGCTTATCAGAAATGGCCTTTCCTGGACTTCCTGATTCTTGCAATGTCAACTTCTTTTTTTTTTTTCTTTAAGAAGGGCTTTCAAAAATAGTTCATGCAATGATATGTATGGCTAAAGGAACTGCTATGTCTAGAAAGAAAATGAAGATCTTATTTCAGCTTGACGGGAGGCAAGCTGAGGACATCTGTGCTCTCCCCAGCCTTACAAACGCTCTGAGATGATGGCGATCTTCCAGTCCTTAGAGAGTCTGACACAAAAGTAGCTTCCTGGGCCGGCTGTGCTGTCACCTCAAAAGTGTCTGTCTCTGTCTCTTCCGGACCCACCTCTTCATCAGTTATAAACAATTTAGATTCTCTCCATTTGGGATAAAAATCTTGGCTGCCTCTGGAGCCACTTGACTCACTCCCTGAAAGCTGTAAACTCAGTTCCTCTGTTGATCTGATGAGGTTTTGGACGGACAAAGACTTGCCCAAGTCCTTGGGGACCATGGGGCGGACAGACAACAGAGTTTCCCCACCCATGTCAAAGCTTTTCCTCAGAGCACGGTCCTTCGTCAGCTTTGATGGGGCAACCTGGACATGTTCCGTGGAGGCTACAAGGCAGGTGGTGACATCGGAGAAGCTCTCCTGCAGGCCTGTGGGGTTTGGGTGCAGGGTCTCTGGCCGGGGCAGGTGCTTGGTGGCTGGAAGAGGAGGTGGGATCTGTAAGGTTGTGGGGGCTAGCGGCTTGGGGGCTGCATTGATTTGGTGTGCAATGTTGTTGGTGGCCGTCACGTTGGAGCCATCGCTTTGGCTCAGTGGCACCTGTGTCGCTTGACTGTGCATAGTAGGGCTAAGTGCGTAGAAAGTCTGAGCGCTGAACTCATTTGGTGTCAGAATGAATTGCAGGCCTCGGGAGATGTTGGCACTAGCCGATCTGGTTAGACAGCCGCTGTTTTGGGCAGAACTGGACAGGTCTTTGCTGTCCACAGGGCTCTGATAGTCAGATGTCTGTTCACATTCGAAAGGCGGGATCTGGAAGGACGCCAGGGCCAGGGCCGAGGCAGAGCCCTTCCGCAGGACCTGCTGGTAGATGTCTAGCAGGCAGTCCAGCTTTGACTCAATGGATTGGACCTGAAAGTAGGAAATGAGAGTTCACATGAAGATGCCTGATGGAGAATTACCTTTGCTCTTGGAATCAGAAAGGATGAGGGGCTGGGAAGGTGGCTCAGTGGTAGAGCACTTGCCTTGCATGCATAAGGCCCTGGGTTCGATTCCCCAGCACCACATAAGCAAAAAGAAAAAAAAAAAGCTGGAAGTGGCGCTGTGGCTCAAGTGGTAGAGTGGTTGCCTTGAGCTGGAAAGCTGAGGGCCAGTGCCCATGCCCAGAGTTCAGGCCCCACAACAGGACCCAAGAAAAAAAAAAACAGAAAGGATGAGACTCTTGTCCATACAGTAACTACAGAGTGTGCAGTACACTTTTGACTTGTAGTAATGGAGTATTTGGCCGCCCTGGGCCAGAGGAGGTTATAGCAGAAGAGGAATGCTTTGAACTTCCTCCACTCATGTCTTTCAGATCGAAAACTCAATATAAGCACTATGAAAGGGTAGCTTCCATTCTCCTCATCTCAGTCAGATCACTTTTCCTCATTCTCCTGATAATCATTCTGGAACTCTACTGAATTTTGCTAAGGAACTTACTCTATAATGCAATTAAGACCTTAAGCAGCAATCCAGGTAAGTCTGGATTTTAAAATAAAAGTCCAGAGTGCTTCAGAATCAAAAACTTGGGACATTCATGATTCCATTCTTTGGGATAGCAATTTGATTTCTGGAATGTTGTATGAGAAGATAGAACTTCAAGGTTTAAAAAAATAGTCAATGTTGTAATTATGGTGAGTTTAAAAAAAAATTAGAGGGTGACCTTAAAGAGAGACAGTGAAAATCACCAAAATGCAAATGAAAAGTAGATCTTTGCTACTTTATTATTGTTTTTTTTTGGGGGGTCCGGTCATGGGGCCTGAACTCTGGGCCTGGGCGCTGTCCCTCAGCTCTTCAGCTCAAGGCTAGCGCTCTACCACTTGAGCCACAGTGCCACTTCTGGCTTTTTTCTTTTTGCTTATGTGGTGCTGAGGAATCGAACCCAGGGCCTCGAGCATGCAAGGCAAGCGCTCTACCACTGAGCCACCTTCCCAGCCCCTGCTACTTTATTATTGAAAAACTATAGTTACTTCCAGTTACATATTAATTAACAAGGTAAAATTTTCTATTGCTTAAATGGAAGTCCAAAGAAGTATAGAATAGTGCCAAGACACTATGAAAATTAATTTTCATTCACTCTTTTTTCACTTTTAGTGTCCTTTAAAATTTTAGTAATCATTAACATTAAGATCAACCTTAACTTTAATGTTTAACTTTCTTATCATTTATTGATTTTGTGTGTGTATATATATATGTATATACATATGTATATATGTATATACACATATATGTCTATATATATGTATGTGCTGGTCCTGGAGCTTGAACTCAGGGTCTAGGCACTGTCCCTGAGCTTTTTTGCTCAAGGCTAGTGCTCTACCACTTGAGCCACAGCTCCACTTTGAGATTTTTTTGGTGTTCAAATGGAGATAAGAGTCTCATGAACTTTCCTGCTTGGGCTGACTTTCAACCCCAATACTCAGATCTCAGCCTTCTGAGGATTATAGGAGTAAGCCACCAGTGGTGGCCTTCCCATTGATTTTGATGAGCAATTACAGTGAAGTACACTACAATCAGTGTAGTCCTGTTGTACCTGTTTTTCAACCTTGACTACCCGGCCAAGCATGCTGACATCATCTGTGGTCTCATGTTCTGCTGTTATTTTCTCTCGACTCTTCTTATCCGATGTGATTTGACCTTTTCCAAGAATTTGATCAACACTATCAGAGAGAGAGAGAGAAAGGAGATTCAGTTATTAGTGCTGAAAGTGGATATTGCCCTAGGTCACACTGAGGTGTTTGGAAAACAAAAGTATAAGGCCAGGTGTAGTTGTGCATGCACATATTATGAGCTGTTCTAGTAGCAGAAATAACAGAATCACAGTCTATGCTGGTCTGGACAAAAGCACAAGTCCCTACATCAAATAGAAAGCTAAAAAGCTAGGAGTGCGGCTCAAACAGTAGTATGCTTTTCTCACAAGTATCATGCTCTAAGTTAATATGCCCCATTATACCAAAAACATTAAATACAGCATCTTTAATTTGTGTAAGATGCAATGAAGATGCATGTGTTCTAGTTGGTGTTATCTGTTTTCCTGACATGAACAAATGTGATTATTTTTTCACTCTGTTCCCTTAGGAAATCACTTATGGAAGACTTTCTGGAGGAAAAATTGTCCTAAACAAAGTAATTGACTCTACCTTGGAGCAGACATTTCTGAATCCAACCATTGAAAAATAATTGTGATTGTCTTGCATTAGTTATTATTTTTTAATTATTTTAATTTTATTGTCAAGGTGAGTTACAGTTACAGTGAGTTACAGAGGAGTTACAGTTACATAAATAAGATAATGAGTACATTTCTTTCTTTTTCCTTTTGTGAGTCATGGGGCTTGAACTCTGGGCCTGGGAGCTGTCCCTCAGCTCTTCAGCTCAAGTCTAGTGCTCTTACACTTTAGCCACAACACCACTTCCGGTTTTCTGGTGGTTAATTGGAGATAAGAGTCTCATAGACTTTCCTGCCCAAGCTGGCTTTGAACCATGATACTCAGATCTCAGCCTCCTGATTAGCTAGGATTACAGGCATGAGCCACTGGCGCCTGGCAGTGAGTACATTTCTTGTCCAACTTGTTACCTCCTTCATAATTTTTCTCCCACTCTCCCTCCCCCCTAGTTATTATTTTATTTGTGACATTTTATTAGCATCAATTTGTCGTATAAGGGGATTTAATTTTGACATGTCCATTTATACATACCATGCCCCTACATCAGATTCATCCCTTCTGAATAGAAAAGATTATTCATGAGAATTTGCTATACATCTATAAGAGGATCAGCAGATGAGAAAGTATGGTCTCTTTCTTTTGCACGTTTATTTGGGATAATATAGATGAGTGATAAGCCTTGGGAACCACAAAGAGCTGTACTAAAGGACTTAGAATATGATGGCCACCTAAGTAAAGACTGTGACATGAACACAGCACAAGTGAAAGCAATTCCCATGGAAACCTGATCAG